AAGATAATTATTCACCCTAAAAGTGCTCTTTCCGAATAAAGGTACCACATTTTGTTCTAGTCCTAAATTTATCTCCTACATTATTCATTTATGCCAATTTGTTTTCTAATTTTTAAACAATTATTTTAGCAAAATTTCATTTTTAGTTTTGAGCGTGGCATCGTATTGAAGCGATCGTCGGTCCCCTTCATCGGGCGACACGTCCGTTCAAAAATCGGATCCACTTAAAGCCTTGACACAACCGGTGCATCGGAGGACACTCGATTATTAAATTATGATTTTTGGTGACGAAGGTCCCTATCGGATAGGAGACCTCGCCACGAAACGACAGATCCCTACCAAGAGGAGACTTCGCCGAGAAAATTTATTATTATTTTATATTTTTTTTATCAATAGCATGCATACATAAAAATCAAAACTAAAATAAATAAATATTAAATTAAATACAAACAGAAAAAATATACAAATAAAAAAAATAATTAAAATAATTAAACCCCTCTAAACATTTAAATTAAATACAAGATTACATAAAACTTAAATTTCTAACTCCATATATTTTTTTTATTATATTCCATTCCCGGTTGGAGACTGAATTAAATCCATCTCTTTATTTATTTTTTTTTTAATGAAAAATGGAGGAATGCAAAGGCTGGATTGAACCAATCTCTGCCTTTTTTTAAAAAAAAATTTATTCCTTAACTAAACGGCCCAGCCTCCATTCAAACCCAAATCCCCATTTCTTTCTTTTCTGATTTTGCCACAGGACGGACCCAACACCACTCAACAGACTTCCTTATCAAAACATTTCTTTTTGACAAATTCCAAAACTCTCTCTCTCTCCTGTTCCTGTTCTCTCACGCCATCTCTTTTTTTCTTTGTTTTTTTTTTTTTCTTTCGTCTCCCTCACCAACCAGATGCCATATGCCAATCAGAATCCCTCCATTCCTTTTTTCTTTTTTTATTTCCTTTTGGTTTTTTTTTTTTTAATGAAAAATGGAGGAATGCAAAGGCTGGATTGAACCAATCTCTGCCTTTTAAAAAAAAAAAAATTTAGTCCTTAACTAAACGGCCCAGCCTCCATTCAAACCCAAATCCCCATTTCTTTCTTTTCTGATTTTGCCACAGGACGGACCCAACACCACTCAACAGACTTCCTTATCAAAACATTTCTTTTTGACAAATTCCAAAACTCTCTCTCTCTCCTGTTCCTGTTCTCTCACGCCATCTCTTTTTTTCTTTGTTTTTTTTTTTCTTTCGTCTCCCTCACCAACCAGATGCCATATGCCAATCAGAATCCCTCCATTCCTTTTTTTAGGCAGTTTCAATTCAGCCGACTCTCTCTCTAGTTCGTCCCTGTTTTTCTTTTTCATTTTTTTTTATATAAAATCTCACGAAATTTCCCCCACCAAAAATCAAACAACTCTAGTGTAAGTATTAACCCTTAAACCCATAGCTATGATCTCATGATAAATGGATTGGGAGATTTATCTCCGGTTAGCTTTTACCATTGTCTCCCTTTTCATTGTTTTTTTTAGGCAACACAGAATAATTGAAGCTAGAATAAAAAGAAATTGAATGAGATACATTACCTGAATGAAATTTGTCGAATTGTAAGAATGGAATGAAACTTATGCAGTGATATCAGAGCCTTCTGTTGCAGGTGGTTGGTTGCGAGATTTGTGAAATTATGTGTGTGTTTTGTTCAATTTGGGAACGAGTGGATGTACGCTAAATTGCCTGTTTTCTTGAGGACTCGACGAACTAAAGAGAAAAATGCAAGAACTCTCTTATAGAAAACCCAAAAATTATAAACATCCCAAACTCGGATACAGAACGGTGAAGAACAGAAAGAAATGCTGTCCTGAAGATTCAAATGGGAACTGGAAATCACGAGCACAAAACTAAACCCATAAAACTAAATCTTTAACCCATAAATTTTTGAAGAATGCTACTGCCTAAAACTCCCAAAAGTTCCCCCCCTTTTTTTTTTTTTTTTTTTTTTTTTTTTTTCAGGATACTGTCCTTTTATAGACATTGAGAATTTGAGTTTCACCTTCAATCAAACACTTTCAAATTCAAGTTTCATCCTAAATCAAATACCTAAAAATTCAGATTTTTTAGTTATTCAATTTGAACTCAATTTCGTTATTGAAAGGTGATTCAACCAAGCTAAACTGAAATTTTAAAAATTGGGATAGACTTCAATCTGTTTTTTTTTTAATTTATTTTTTTGGTTTTTTGTATTTTTTGTATTTTTTTTAAATAATAATAATATAATAAAAAAAAATGGAAGTGCTTTTTTTTGTTTTTGGTTATTACACCGATAACAAAGTTAGTGCTCAGCTTTTGAAAACTAGTAGCCAAAATGGAAGAATCTTAGTGCTCGGTTTTGAAAACTAGCAGCCAAAATGGAAGAATTGGATCGGACAAATTCTAGTTTAAAAATTTAATTGCAAGTTTTTATCGTATAAGTATCTAATTAGTAGTCAGCTTTTTTTTATTCATCGGAAGCTCATGGACTTGTTGGGATAAATTGGGGTAGCTATTTCTATTACATAAAAAAACTTAAGGTTATAAAAGCTCGAACTTTACTTCACTAAAAAATGATAATTACTAGACTAAGCCTCGCTTGTGTTTAGTAATTTATCTCATGAGTTTCACCTTGCCATTAATATAAGAAATTGAAAGGTTGTTGTCACTACTCGACGTCGGACGTAACTCTCAAAAAACATCAAATTTAAGTGTTAATATTTATAAGTTTATTTACGAGTTTGGAGTTGTCATCTCTCATTAAGGAACTAGGAATCTAAAAGTTGTACTCGGTCTAGAGATTCTATGGCAATGAGTTAGTTATGTTGTGGGAAGATATCGATTTCCTAAGAAAGGTACTACATCTAGTTTAGTCCTAAATTCATCTTCTTTGTTTACTTGCCAAATTATTTTCTACTTTTTTTGAAACTCCAGTTTAAAAGCTAATAAAAAAATTTAGTTATTGGGCGTGGCATCGTATTGAAATGATCGTTGGTTCCCTCCGTTGGGCAACACTTCGAGTCAAACATCGAATCCTCTTTTAAGCCTTGACACAACCAGTATGTCGAAGAATATCTTGATTAAACAAATAATTTTTTTTGTGACGTCGATCATCTGTTAGATAAGAGACTTCGTCGAAAATTATTTTTGTATATATATTTTTAAACATCGATCCCTATCGGATAGAAGACTTCGTTAAGAATTTTTTTTTAGTAAACATCTAACCTAACGAACAACAAAAATTCTAAAATTCACACCAAAATAAAGAAAAGAACATCGAAAATAAATTAATGCACAAAAAAAAATCCAACGAGAAATAAAAAAAATTGGGCAGAAAAAAATAATAAAATAAAATAAAATCAAAATATTAACCCATAATTTTTCTACTCATTTTCTTTTCATCTTTTTTTTTATTCCCTAATCCTCTTTTTCTTAATTTTGCTTTTATGTGTTTTTTTTTTTTTTCCAGAGAGACTGGACGTCCAGCCTCCATTTTGGGAGAAGGCCAGCCTTCTCATCATTTTTTTTGAAGGATTTGGGTGGGACCAAACTCAGCCCAGCCTCCCTTTTCTGCGTCCCTTTTTTCGTTGGGCTTCAAGTCACCAACAAGCCCATCCCCCCTCATTTTCGATCAAACAATGGACCCTTAGCCCGTGATTCCCTCTCTCCTTCATGTTCTTCGTATTAACGTTGCTTCAAATATCCAGGACAAATAAAGATTCATCTCCAATTAAAAGACTCAATCATGCAAACCAACAACCCAAATCCCGAACGAAATAACAATTAAACAATTAAAGATAGCGAACAAATAAAGACCAAAACAGAAGAATTAAACACCAGGAGCTGACTTGGGAAGAACGCGACTGAAGAACACCAAATAATCCCAGAAAAATACCAGAACTGAAGAACCCAAAATGAAAATTTCGCACGATTTTTGACTATTGACCCTCGATTTATTTTTTATTACACTCAAAAAAAATAATCTTCTTCGAAATAGCCCAAAAAAATACCGCTTTTAATCGACCCATAACGAAGAACGCCAACCCAGAATGAAGAACACCAAACCCTTGCCCAGAAATTCCCCAGAAAACGCAGGAGCCAAAACCCCAAAAATCCCTCGAATTTTTACCTTTTTCTTCTGTTTTTAACTCTCTCTCCACCCCAGATTTCTTCTCTATTTTTTTTTTCCATCTTCCCCCTTACAACCCAGAACTCCTCTCCTTTTATAGACACTCACAGTTTGAGTTTCATCCCAAATCAACTACCTTCAAACTCGAGTTTCATCCTAAATCAAATATCTTAAAATTCGAAATTTTTTAGCGGTCCAATTTGAACTCAACTTCTGTTATTGAACTTTGAATTAGCTAAACAATCGGGATAGATTAAATTCGAAAAAATAAAAAAACGGTTAAAAGATTTGGACAGATTTTCGAATGATTTTGGAGAGATTCAGTATTTTTTACTTTTTTTCGTATTTTTATTTTTACTCTTTTTTTCAAAAAAATAATTCAAATAAAAATGAAATAAAACAAAAATGAGATAACATAAGAATTAACTAATGATAAAATAAGTATTGAAAAATTTTGGGTTATGACAATAGTTGAGAAAACCCAATAAAATCTTGGTTTGATAGTGTACAGCTATAGCTAGCTTTGGACTTTGGCCAAGATGGGGGCATGCTTTACCATTTTTTGTTTTCCTTTGTGAATGATGGAATTATCTGATGCTATCAGCAGAATCAAAGCATTGTTTCTTGGACGAAAACAAAAATGGAAAATGATTGATGGAGATTGGAGACAATAAGGGTGGAAAGGAAAAAAAGAAAGGATTTTGAACGTGCCAAATCTGGTGATCCACAAACCTCACAAGTTTGCTTATCTTCAACAAACTTTTCATCTCTTTAAGAACGGTTAAGCTGCCCTCATGTTTTAGCAACTCTATACATCCTTTCTAAGTTTCTATCCAAAGAAATGATAAAGCAATTCAATCGTGGCGCTGGCCATGAATGGGTCATACACATCAAACGAACCCTTGATGAAGGGATAGACGATGAAGATTTAGGCATTCCTGCCTGCATCTTCAGCGTACCCAAAGCCCTAGTTTCCACCAAACAAGAAGCATACATCCCTCAACTAGTTGCGATAGGCCCTTATCATCATCGACGCGTAGAGCTCTTCGAAATGGAGCGCAAGAAGCTTGTCTTTGCAGAAAGAATCCAGAAGAAGTTTCACAACATTACGTTCAGTGACATTGTTGGGCACTTGGAGGAAAATGTTAGCAGAATTCGAGCTTGTTATCATGCGTACTTGGATTTTGATCGGGAAGAACTGGCTTGGACTTTTGCCATTGATGCTTCCTTCTTGTTGGTGTGCCTCCAAGCCTATAAAATTAAGCATGAAGATCCATCAACGAGTCTTTCAGCTTCCAGTTTAGCACAGTTGGTTGACCTCTCCAAGAAGAAAACCATACACCATGTAATCCTTAGGGATGTTGTCATGTCGGAAAATCAAATTCCTCTTTTTGTGCTCAGAGAAGTCAATAGGTTATTTCAGTATGAAAATCCTGATGAAGTGTTGGCTTCGATGTTAATGAAATTCTGTACGCATCTGTCACCTATTAAAATCATGGATAGCCAGCAACAACTTATTGAAGAATGTCTCCAAAAGAATCATCTTCTTGATCTTCTCTATTGCATGGTTGCTCCTAAATTGGAAGAGGAAAGTTCAGAAATCGATGAGTCCAAGGAGGGCAAAGAAAACCTTGAGGAAATTGGTTGCTTCAAGAAAGCTTGGAAGTTTATCTGGAGCTTTTTATGTTTCATTGTCATAGTTCCTATCAGGTTTCTTGTACGAATACGAAAATCAAAAGCTGTCAAGGTTGCAGTCACCCTACCATGGCAAGTCATCAAGCAACTTTGCCATCTCAATACCAAAAGTGAAATAACCAATCTTGTCTCTACTGCCAGAACCGTGGCTGCAGAGATCGAAAGCGTATCTGGATTGAACAATGCAAGTCTATTGATCGAAGAATTCTCGATCCCATCTGCCGAAAAACTATCTGGCATTGGTGTCATATTCATTCCCACAATAGGTGGCTTGAAGACCATTCGATTTGACAAACCTTCCGGAGCATTTTATCTTCCGGTCGTGGACTTGGACGACAACTCAGAGGTGTTACTGAGGAATCTTGTAGCTTATGAGGCTTGTTTAGCACCAGAGTGCACAGTATTTGCACGCTACATTAGATTGATGAGTGGAATTCTGGACACGAAAGAGGATGTGAAGATTTTAAGGGATTCGGGGATTGTCTTGAATCGACTCAAGAGCGACGAGGAAGCAGCAAATCTTTGGCATGGAATTGATAAATTCGTGAACCTCACCAAAGTTCCAATTATTGACAAGGCAATAGAGGATGCAAATACTTATTATTCAAAGAATTGGAAAGTTCGGCTGGCAAAGTGTTTCAACAAGTATGTTTATGGTTCGCGGCCAATTCTGACATTCTTAGCAGCTAATATCCTCATATTGCTGTCTGCTTTTGAGGCCTTCTGTTCTGTATATAATTGCTCTAAATAGTTAGCTTCTCTATGATCCATTTCTACTGTATTTTAACATTTCTATCGACAATCGGCATTTTAATGAATTCCATCACACTTCCAAGAAGAAGGCTGAATCAAGTGATTTTTTTCCCATGCAATTACAGGGAGGGAAAACATGCAGCGGATAGACTGGCAAAATTATGAATTGCTTCATGACCAACAGAGAGACCTCAGGTATTGCCTGGCTTTAATTTCTGTAACAGCTTTAATTTCAGAGGTTCTTTTGTAATGTAGGAATTCTGTACTTCAAATTATGGGACACAGCATCCTTTTGTTCCTCTTTTTCCTTGCTGCAATTCCACTTAATTTCATAAAAAAATCGGCATTGTAAAGAAGAGTTTTTGCGTTCGACGACTTCAAATTGGATTAAATGTTTTGCAATCATTGATAAGAAAATGTTATCCTCTTTTTTTTTTTTTCGGTGGATAAAAATGCAGCCAGCTAGTCAACGCAGCCAGCTAGTCCACACGTAAAAGACAACACATAGACTGAAAAAGCAAAACGTACGGATGCTTAATTTGAAGCCATAGCTTCCTTATCTATTTTGAGAAGACAGACAAACCAACAAGATATGGATAAGAATTAATTTGAGGGGAAAGAAAAAACAATAGATATGAATACATATTTTGTAGAAGTGGAACTGCATGGCCGTTGTAGTCTGCTTGTATTGCGTCCAAAAATTAAGGGATAACCTAATTTAGTGCAAAACCTATGTATCAAAAAATCGGCACTCAAATTTAATGCTCCAAGTATTGCAGAACCACCTATGGAAAAAAAATTGGCAGCTTTCGCATTACTGATCAGTCCTGTTGTTGTGACCATAATCTCAAACCAGTTTTAGCATCAATGAAAACTAATTAAGTTCATTATTTTTTGGATTAAATCAGTATCAAAACACAGTTTAATTTTTTATCATCATTGATTTGCCTGTTAGACAAAATCAGCTGAAGCTTGGTACTACTAAAATTAACCAGTTTTAGCATCAAATGTATTGATGGTTTTAGTTGTTGTTGCTATCATGATAGATCAGGAAGACCAACATTTTTGTCAAAGGATCATCTTAACTATTAAGTGAGCCATTATGATATTATTTTTATTATTTTTTAACACATCCTTTTCAATTGAAAGCTTTTTCGAGTTTTTCAATCATAGTAATAATAATAACAACAATAAAGAAAAATGGATCAATAAATTTTTATATAGCGGGCCAAGTTCTAATACATCCTTATATCATCAATTAAGCTAATTTTATCTCCTATAAAATGATTGATTTTTCAATTTATTATTTTATTAATTTTTTTAATCCAAATAAACATAATTAATCATGTACGTGACTTGATATATACCAAAAAATGGTAATTTCGGTGAAAGAGGAAGAATGTCGGAGAGAGAGAGAGAGAAGAAAGAGAAAAAAAGGAGAGGAAGGTTTCAAAAAGAGAGAAGTCTGGTTCTGTGTGAATTTATTGTATGCTTTGCATGTGATAACATATTCATAGATGTCATGGCAATTTTAAGTATAATATCAAATCATATTCAAATTTGGTTTTGTTAATTGGACAAAAAAAATTGATAAATTAAAAACTCCCTTATTTAATAGAAAAAAATATATATTTTTTATTATAAGGACATATTGGGTTATGTTAAAAGAGAGAGAGAGAGAAAAAAGGAATTCTCATTAGAAAGGTCTAAGATTTGATTTTACGTATGGATAGTTTGCTTAAGTAAGGATGAGCAAACGATTCGATTTTATTTAAATTCGGTTTGGTTTTCGGTTAATTGAATTAAGAAAAACCAAAACTAAAAACGAATCAAAATAAGTTCGGTTTGAAACCAAATTATTTCGGTTTGGTTTCGTAAAAATTCGTTTTTAATCAAAATAATTTTATTTTTTTAATTGGTAAATTTTAAATATAGGCTGGGCTAATATTTGGAGGCTTTTTATTTTTTAGTATATGGATTGGGCTAATAAAGATTATGCTTTCTCCTTGAATACCATAATTTAAATCTCAAACTAGGTGTAGAAAATAAAATTTTTAAGGTTAGAGATTTAGTAGCGGCCAAGGGTTTTTTTTTTTAGTTTTTACTTTCAATATATTCGGTTTTTGATGAAAATTAAATTTTTTTTTAAAAAACCAAACCAAATCGAAATAATTTCGATTTAATTTTTAATTTTATAAATTTAAGTTTAAAACCAAACCAAAATGTATAATTCGATTGGACTTAGTTTGATTTTTCAGTTAATTCACTCTAGCTAAGTACAGGTACGTATATCAAAGCCGAATTGGTTGGGGACAAAATAAGAGTCAATAATTAGATAAAAGCACAGAAAAACGAAGTGTTTGCTCAAAAAAAAAAAAATTAAGCCTGGCCCATCCTGCAATGCCGGTTGGTTGGGTTGGATATCATGACTGCTCAGTCCTACATGGACATTGATTGTGGCTTGCCCAAACTTGCAACTAATGGGTCTAGGCTTTAGATACTCTTTAGTTGGGCCAGACATAAAATTTTTTCACTCATCTAAATTCAGGAGGAGCAATCTCCACATAAATGCAGTCTCAATCGGAGACTTCTTTTGAAGACAGAAAAAGGGGTATTGATTTAGCTACAAGTTCATCGGCAACACTTCACATTTGACAACTTCGAATTCAAGTTCTCAACGACAAGGAAACTTCCAAAAACACATGTATATGAGTATGTCTCATTTGTCCTTTTACTTGCTGTTCTTGCCTATATTTATACTACCCCATCCGCAACAACTTACAATTTCCGAGTCTCATTTTCTCCTATATGTTACAGAGTCTGAATCAATGACTTCTTGTAAGTCCAGTAATATTTTATTCAGAATAACTTCTAAGTAAAAAGTTGAATCCTATATAAGTCTAGTCTCATTTAGTTTTCTTATAACATTATTGAACTTATAGTCGAGTTTTTCGATACTAGTTCAGGTTTTACCACTCAACATTGTTGATATGCAAATGTCAACAAATTATTTGTGAAAATCTCTGATTCCTATATGTTTTAGTTAAGACAATTCTATCTGTAACTAACTACATTAGATGAAGTAGATGTTAACTAACTAATTAATTAATTAATAATGTCATTTGATATTGTCTTATGGGATCTGAGACCAAATCCTGTTGATATCAGAATAATAGTTGCTTAGGAGATGAATACTTCCAACTGTCTTACCAAATAACCAAATGACAGAGCAAAAAAGTTGCATACAACTTTTTTACAAACTGCTCCGAGGTTAAAATGGTTTTTACCTGTTGAATAAGTTACTTTTTTGAAGGTAGAAAGTAGGTCTAAATTAATTGATATTTCAATTATGTGACTTTGAGGTTGAATACATCATATTTATGATGTTGAAAGACTTGAAACCGGCAACCTCAGTTGAATATCTTCCCTTTCAAGCTTATAATTACTTGTTTTTAACTCGAGATATATAAGATAATAGTATCACTCTATAAGTAGGTAATAATTACCAGTTATATAAGTATCCAATGAAAAATATATAGTAATGTCCTAATACATAAATTAATTGACCACCAACAGAAAGCAATTTAGTGAAACTATATATAGTACAACCATTTTCTTTTCTTTTTTGGTAGTATCGTAGTGTAAATGTAAAAAAACGAGGCTTTCGCTTAATTATATCTTGGTTATTGGCTCAATAAATCTTTATATAATATGATAATTTTCTAATTTGTTTTTATATCTTCAATTGAATAAATTTTATCATTAAATATATATTAAAATTTTAATTTATCATTTTATCAATATTTTCAGGTCAAATCACCAAAATTATTTACGTGATTTGCACATGTCTATTTTTATTCCTAAAATGCTATTACAAACCAATCAAATAGAAGTTTTTTATGTATAAATCGTGTGACTAATTTCGATATTTTAGTTTAAAAATCTTGTTAGAAAGATCAATTAGATACTTAACGTGTATTAAAAGATAAAATTATTTCAATTAAAAATATAAAGATAAATTAAAGAATTCTTTTATTATAGTGTTGTTACCCGACATCGGACGAGACTCTCGAAAAATATAAAATTTAGATTTTATTTATAGAATTATTTACAACTTTACAGTCACTATCTAGTATTGAAGGAACTAAAAATCTAAAATGGACACTCGGTTCAAAAATTTTAAGATAAGGAGTTGTTTATACTTCGAAAAGATATCGATCACCCAAAACGTCCTTTTCGATGAAAGGTATTATGTTTGGTTTAGTACTAAAATTTATCTCTTTAAAAAAATTTTTTTTTGCCAAAAATTAATCTTTGTCTAAATTCCATGTCCTTTATTTCAAAACTAAATTTTTTATTTTTGAATGTGACATCGTATTGAAACGATCATTGAACTCCTTTGTCGAGAGAGATGTCGATTCAAATATCGAACCTACTTTTGGAGTCTCAATACAACGGTGTATCGAAGAACACCTAAATTACTAAAAAAAATATTTTGACTAACAATTGTCCCTATCGGATAGAAGACTTTGTTAAAACTTTTATTTTTTTTCATTTTTTTATTTGGTGGACGATCGTCATTAGTCCCTAAAGAATTAGGAGACTTGACAATCCTCCAACTATTAATCATGGAGTCTAATTACTAAACAAATAAATTAAAGTTACATTAATTAAGTAAATTAAATAAAATTCAAATACTAAAATTGAAATTAATAACAAACATACATAAAATAAATTCAAAGTTAAAATTATATTAATTAAAATAATTATAAAAAATTAAAGTATTAAATTCTAAATTAATATAATGTAACAAACATGCATAAAATAAACTCAAGATTAAAATTACATTAATTAAAATAATCAAAGACAATTCAATATCTAATTTAAAAATCAAATAACAAACATGCATAAAAATAAATTCAAGATTAAAATTATATTAATTAAAATAATTAAATAAAATTCAACATCTAAATTAAATATGAAATAAAAAACATGTAT